GTTCTTGTACAATGTGACGATGTTTGCATCCTTCATGTCCTGTGGTACTCCACCTTCCCTCCAACAAAGATGAAAGACTTCATACAGTTCGGTGATGATGATCTCTTTAGAGCACTTCAGCACTTCAACAGGGATGTTATCCTTTCCAGGTGCCTTGCCAGAGACGAGGGAATTCAAAGCCGCTTTTATTTCTGCTAAGATTGGTTCACTGTCCAACTCTTCCAAGACAGGCAGACACTCAATGTTATTTAATGCTTCTTTGGTTACTACATTCTCTCTGGAATATAGCTCAGAGTAGTGCTGCACCCAGTGGTCCATCTGCTGTGCTTGGTCCTGGATGATCACACCTGTAGCAGACTTCAAGGGAGCAGATTTCTTCTGTATTGGACCTAAAGCCTGCTTGATACTGTCATACATTCCTTGGATGTTACCTGTGTCCGCTGCTGTCTGTATCTGAGAGCAGAGCTGAAGCCAATAATCATTGGAACATTTCCTGGCAGCCTGTTGGACTTGGCTATGAGCAGCTCGAAGAGCTTGCAAGTTGTACTCGCTAGGACAGGCTTTGTATGCTGCTAGAGCTCTCCTCTTATCCTCGATGGCTGGCATCAGCTCCTCCGACATGAAATTGTCATTACATGTCCCATGAAAAATGCTGGAGTGTATCAGGATGCCTTCCAGGTGCCTGTCTTTTGTACTGTGCTGTGCATATTTTATTTTATGTATTTAAAGCATTTTTACTCCACCTTTCTCTATAAAGAACCCAAGGCGTATGTTGTGCTATCAATATTAGTTTCATTCTTTTCATACTTAGGAATTCTAGGTCTCGAAAAGGAACTAAGAGACTTTGAAAAAGAGAGTTAAAAAAATTGAAAAAAAACCCAAATCTCTATTTCCTAGGTTGTATTAAATCACAGGAGCTAGACCAGTTTCAAACCCTACAAATTACTCAGCCCTTATTTGCTGTGTGCAGCTTTTTTGGATCAGTTATGCACATCTATGAGCTTTGTGTCCTAATATGAAGCGGTTTAAACTGTTTTGTTAACTATTTGTGGAATTCGGCTCAACTGAAGCATGTTCTTATCATGAGTTCTTGGTCTTTGTCATCTTTTCCAGAGTTTAAGAAGTTCCTGCTCTATGCCCGCCAGATGGAGATTAGAGGCGTTGACATTGACAATCCATACTACAATTATATCAACTCTTTTACTGTGCCTGACATTGACAATGTTACTGTGGTTGACTATGATGCCATGGAACAGAGGATCTATTGGTCAGATGTCCGCACCCAAACCATTAAGCGGGCATTCATCAATGGGACGGGAGTGGAAACTGTTGTATCTGCAGGTAGGAACTAGCTGTTTCTCTGTTCTCTTCTTCTGTCATCAGCATTCTGTACCTTGCAATGACATGGTCCTATTTGACCCCAGTTAAATTTCTGTGAGATGAACAGTTCTTTTTCAGATGGATCGTCCCGATACTCTTTATTTTTCTCTCAATGACAGGGAACCCAATATTGTTCAACTCAGTTTCTTATTTTCCCCTAATCACGCTGATTAGAGCTGATGAAAATTGAAGTCTAACACAATCTGGAGACCTGAGGGTCTCAGATCTGTGTTACCTCTTCTGCACCATAACCATAAAGATCTTGCAGCTTTAGAGGCATTTTCTTTGTCTTTTTTCTTTGTACTCTCTCTAGCCACATTTGTAAGATTCCCCACCTTCTTTGCCTTGCAGACCTTCCCAACGCCCATGGTCTAGCTGTAGACTGGGTCTCCAGGAACCTTTTCTGGACAAGCTATGATGCCAACAAGAAACAAATCAACGTTGCTCGCCTAGATGGGTCGTTTAAGAATGCTGTGATTCAGGGGCTTGACAAGCCTCATTGCCTGGTTGTACATCCTCTCAAAGGGTGAGTCTTGGGGAGCCAGACAGCAGGAATGGAACTCTGTGTGGTTACAAAGAAGAAATAGAATGTGTTCATTTCCCCTTTCAGTTACCAAAAATTCGCATGAGATCTGAACCCTAAACAGTGGGAAATCTTAATATTTATGTGCTGAAACAAATGAATTAAGTTTTAAATGAGTGCTTTCAAGTGAACTTAGTGATCCACAAGGTCCCTTCTAGCTCTGCAGTTCTAAGATTGTTGTTATATAATTTGTTTTCAGCTGATTTCTTTCTCAGAGTTTTCCAGGTAGAGAGTGCTCAGAAGTTGTGAACCATTGCCTTCTTTTGTGATTGTGGCTCTGGAACTCACATCTAGAATTAATTTGGACTTCTTTTTGCTTCATAATATGGTGAGAGTGCATTAGGGTGTTCCACTTGCATTGTTTGAAGAGGCCTGTTTTCTGATTGCAGTGTTCTGCAAGGTGCAAAAATACCACATGCCCAAGGAAGGGCTTGTGCATGCAGAATCAAGTATGTTCCATTTAAACTTTCATAAACAGAAAACACAAGATTGAGTAGATTCAAACTTAGAAAGAAAGAAAGAAAGAAAGAAAAACATACTTGACTTCTACTGAGGAGCAATAAATCCAGTGTTCCCTGAAAGGAAAAAAATTGATTTCCCCCAAATGAGCCCAAGCTACTGACTAACAGAGAACACTACTTCTGCTTGCGCAGCATTGTTCACTGGAAAAAAAAACATGAGGGTGTTGTTGCTGACTAACAGAGAACACTACTTCTGCTTTGTGCAGCATTGTTCACTGAAAAAAACACATGAGGGTTTTTTGTTTTTTGCTTTTACTGTTTTTGTTGCCCTGCCAGATTTTTTTTTTAGAAAAAGAGCTCCCCAGGAGCCAGGGACCCTTGCAGAGGATAAACCCGCTGCAGGTTATGCTGCAGAATGACTTCTCTTAATGTGTTTCCTTCACACAGGAAGCTGTATTGGACAGATGGAGACAACATCAGCATTGCCAACATGGATGGCAGCAATCGCAGCCTACTCTTCACAAACCAAAAAGGGCCTGTTGGTAAGGAGTCAGTCCCACCTTGCTGCTGACACTTGGACCTCTGAGCCCTTTGGGAGAGACCAAGGATGTAGGTTCCCTTCATGCCACTGTACTGAGTGGAGGCAGAGCTCTGGAGTCCCCGGCCAGAGTTAACCGTGCCCATGTCCTGTTTCATGATGTAGCACCTGGCTCACTTGCGTCCAGGATTATCCGTAGGGATTAGAATAACCATAGAACAGCATAACCAGTTTTTTTCCCATTCTCCTGTGCTCCTAAAAAGATTTTATGCCCTTAAAAATAAATAATAATTAAGAGTCCTTATGCCCTTATATAATAGAAGGGAACCACCTTACATCACAAACACTCCTTCCTTATGCATTTGCTTCATTTCACTTGTAAAAGTGATGATTTAATTAACATTACATGGTATTTGGAAGCCAAGTGGAAATACGTACTTATTACGATGGTGGTTTTGTAGCTGCTTGTCCTCTTTTTCCTTGAATGAATGAATATTCTCCTGCGGACACGAAGAATATGGCAGTGAAACACACATTCACAGTATAACTCTTGCAAATGTACATTAAAAGCTTGGCTTTTTGCAAGATTTCAACCAATAAATCCCTTGTATTGCTGGAAATTGCAATCTTTCTCTGAATCTTGAAGAAGTTTCTTTTCTCAAAGTTCTGTAAGCAGAAAATTCCATTGATATGGATAATATTAAATATACAGTATATTGAGAATGTAATATAACATATATACAGTGGTGCCTCGCTTAACGAGCGCACCGTATAACGATGAATTTGCATAGCGATCCGTTTTTTGGGATCATTAATGCGAAGGCATACCAACGGTCGCAATGGGCAAAACTCGCATTGCGAAGATCTGTAAGCGTTTCACTTACCGATCTTCGCATTGCGACGTCGGGGGTTCAGCTGTTCGGCGGTTCCAAAATGGCCGCTGGACGACCCAAAATGGCCGCATGCAGCATTTTTGCGCCCTGCCCTCGCTTACCGAGGGCGTGAAAATGGCTGCCGCTATGGAGGAACATCGCTGAACAGGGAGTTTTGTGCCCATTTGGAACGCATTAAACAATGTTTAATGCGTTCCAATGGGTTTCCCCGTTCCGTTTAGCTATGTTTGGTAAGCATTAGTAAGAATTTCTTGCTAGTGATTGCACAGGGAGAGTTATTCACCAAGTTTGTAGAGAATTTCTTTCCCATTCATTCTGAGAACTGAATTTCCTTTCGAATATCATGGATTGTGCTTGTGGAAGCTCACTCTAGAATGTTGGGCTGCATCATGGGGTGGTGACAGGCGTCCATCCAACCACCAGCAGCAAACCTTGGTATTGTACAGCTACCTGGCTGGCTGTGGGCTGGGGTGGACCGCAGCCTGTCAACTAGTGCTCTCCTCCTACTGGTATGAAATAGGGATCCTGTTCTGATTTTTAAAATTTATTTTATTTAAAATATTTTTACCCTGCTTTTCTCCTTGAAGAGGACCCAAGGCGACTTATAACACTGAAAGACAGTACAGTGGTGCCTCAACCTACTCCCATAATCCGTTCCAGAAGAT